TTATTATAAATTTTTAAACAGGTAAATGCAATATATGATTTGAGAAGTCAGGTAAATGGCACCTTTGGGGAACAGGCGAGGGGCAGTGACTGAGGAGCTTCTAGAGTATTAATAATATGATGTTTCTTGTTCTGGGTAGTGGCTACACATAAGCATGTTCAATTTGTGATAATACATGGAGCTACAAATTTATTAGGATTTGTGAACAGTGCTGTAACTTTATATTATACTTCAATATAATTTTTTTAAAGAGAGAAAAGAGGTCTAATACAAGCAGTGGGAATTATAATGGCATTAGCCTTCTAAATATTATACTGGAAGCTAGAAGAAATAGCACAATGCCATCTAAATTCTAATGGAAAAGGATTTCAAACTTAGAATTTTATATTCATACTTTCAATCAAATTGTGAGGGTAAAAGAAAGACATTTTCAGTCAGGAAAGCTCACAGAAAAGTTACCTCCTGGACATCTTTTCTCATAAACCTTCTGAAGAACATGCTCTAGTAAAAGGAGAATATAATATATAGGAAAATGAAGACATGGGATCTGGGGAACAGAGACTTCAATATGGGAGGAAGGCAAAAGAAATTCCCAAGATGGCAACTTGGGAGCGGGAGGCTGGAGGGTTCTAGGGTAGACATCTCCCAGAGAAATGAAAACCAAGAGAGGACCTGCTTGTGTTTGACCAAATTGAGAGATTTTTCAGTTCTGTTAGAGTGTAGTGATAATGCAGGGGCAGATACACAGAAAAATCGAATAGTTAAAAAACCAAAACATGGCAAATATTATATTTGGGATAAGCAAAGAATGATCCCTCCATCCAAAAAATGGGGAAGAATAAATATGGTGCAATTCAGCTGTGAATAGGAGTCTTATGGGCTTAATAACATAAACTGGGATCACTGATCTAGCCGAGCATATGATATATACCTGATTAAATGAATGGGTGGAAGGGACTGTTGTATGCTTTTGGGGGGTTGCTGAGTAAGGCAATATAAGGCAGTATATCCTAATCTCCTATAATAGAACTCCAAAAGATAACTGAACTGAAAAAATCAAGAATTAGCATAAGCATAGAGAAGTAAAAAACAACTAAAACAATTTAAATGGGGGAGAAGTGGGGGTGGGAAGGTATGAGGCAGGCTGTTGCTGCTTTCTATTATAAAACTGCAGCACTTTTTTGTCTTTGTCAATTATTTGTATATGTTATTTTTATAAAAATAAAATTAAACTAAGAAAAAAACCTATGCAAATAAAAGAGAAAATCCCAGGGGACTAAAAGAAATCACTTTTAGCTTTAAAACTCTGGATAATCACCAGAGTCATCTCTTGTTCAAGAGTAAGCAGATATGTAGCTCACATCAGTAACCATTATTAATTAAATGTTGTTTTAGTCCAAAATTCTCCCCATATGAAGAGCCAAATTATCTACAATTTAGTATAGGATACATGCAAAGCTGCCTCCCGCCAGAGCCAGAACATACAAATCAGATGTTTTCATTTTATCAGGTTAGACTAAATTTATATTACTATAACTGACATGGAACTTTTCAGGAACACATATAAGTAAATTTGATCTGTTGTGGAAACAGGATTATTCTTTCACCTTTTATTATTTTTTCACCTCCATTAACGGAACTAATAAGGGCCTAAATCAAAAGAACAGATATAGTTTGTATAAGCGAAATTACCTGAAGAATGTCACGAAGAACTGTACCAGGTCCATAAAATTGCTGTGTTGGGAGAAGGCAATCTGTGATGGAAAAATAGGTAGTGTGATTATAAACAGCATCACTGACTCAGCCTTCTTGTTTCAAGAGCTAAGCTGAAAGACAGACTTCACATTATACAGAAGAAATTTAAGAAACTTTTTTCACTTAAGGAAAAGTATCTCACCCCTTCAGTTTTTTTTATTATTGTTTAGTTGCCAGCCCCAAAGTAATATTCTGAGGTTTCAGCATAACCTACTGCAGCCTCCCTCTGTACTTCGCAACAGATCTGAAGCTCTTTCATCCTGACCCTGAAGACCCCTTGCACTCCTTCATTAAGCCCTGGTGGCAGGTGAGTCAATCTGCCTGCTCCCTCCCCGTGCCTGCACCCAGACACAATGCTTTCCTTGTGCTTCAGACACCAATTCTTAGATCTATCTCAAGGTGGGCAGCCTCACCTTGTGCCTTTCATTCCTTCAACATTTATGTACTCAACGTGTACTCACTTGAAAATACTGTCTTTTTAAAAAATATCATGCCTCCAGTTTTGCTACACTGAATACCATCTGACAGTATGCATCAGTTGGAACTTAAATAATTTTATTATAATAGTCTTTATACCAAGAATATAAAAAAACCCCTAAAATATTTCATCAACTCTAGACACCACTGACTAAAAGGGGCATTATTTTGTGTACTATTAAGAAAAAACACTGCCAATTAAACTATGACACAATGCTATTTATTTCTTTCTTTTTTGAGACAGAATCTTGCTTTCTTGCCTGGCCTAGAGTGCCGTGGCGTCAGCCTAGCTCACAGCAACCTCAAACTCCTGGGCTCAAGCGATCCTTCTGTCTCGGCCTCCCAAGTAGCTGGGACTACAGGCATGCACCACCATGCCCGGCTAATTTTTATATATATATATATATATATATATATTTTAGTTGTCCAGATAATTTCTTTCTATTTTTTAGTAGAGACGGGGTCTCACTCTTGCTCAGGCTGGTCTCGAACTCCTGACCTTGAGCGATCCACCCGCCTCGGCCTCCCAGAGTGCTAGGATTACAGGCGTGAGCCACCGCGCCTGGCCGACACAATGCTTTTTAAATCATTGACTGTAAGACGCATTGTGATTTCAGGGGTACTAGAATATGAAAAAAATATATATCTCAGAATTGATTAAATATGAGAATTGTGTCCTCAATATTACCTACAATATATATAGTACTAGCCAGATTTTTTATTTTTTATTCCCTTTTTTTTTTTTTTAGAAAACTTCGCCCTCTTTGGAGAAACAAGGGTACTATAAATGAAACAATTATTGAAGAAGGTGGTAATAATTGTCCCAGTACCAAAAATAAGTATGATAAGAATCGGGACAGTAAACGATTAGTATCTTATTTTCTAATCCCACCTAACCCCTCTCTGCATGAGGCAAAAGGCAGACTGTTTGCTTTTTTGATGGTCTTACTTTCTTTTTGATATTCCATAAATAAAGTTCCAATACTACCTATTCAGGCCATAAAATATTTTGGGGTATGGAATTTGAAGTTTTTGTGTCTTCTCTTTAGCCACCATTTATAATCAAAAATACAAAGTTATAGACATTTCATATAATAAAGAGAAACCCACTTTCTCTTCTTTTCTGTCATTTATTACAATAACTGGTTCCAGCTCCATGAGAGAAGGAAAGCTGCAGGATATGAGCCATGGTCCTTACATAAAAGTTTTAAAATAAGATTGGAAGATAATTATATAAACAAGGTTATTCAATCTTAGGGAATGAAGATTCCAAGCTACAACACATAAAGAGGGAGAAGGGAACAGATTAGAGTCCACCCTAGCTCTGTTTAGATTTTAATCTTTTAAAACATTAGTGTGTCTTCAGTGTTTACACTTAAAGAAACCCATGAGATACTTTTGCTCAGAGCTAGATGCCAAAAATCTCTGGATGCTGGCTCCTTTAGAGGACCTATAAGGTGTCTGTGTGCCCTGTGCCACGCAACATTCCTCAGGGCAGCTCCCCTCTGTGCTGGGATCCCAACCATTATCCTGATTTCTTGCTGAAGCAGGACTGTACCATATTCATGTCCAATTTATAATCACAAAGAACCTCATATAAACTGGTCCCAGTGTGGATGGTACCCAAGACTCTTTTGTTGAATTTTTATCATCTAAGTCAACACAATTACAAGGTTGGGTAGGGAAGCAAAAGTCGTAACATGTTTATGAATGCACTGACCACACAGAAACATCCAGTCCTGCTTAACACCCCACCCACTGTGTCAGTTTTTGTTGGTCAATCTTTGACTGATAATGTGATGAACTTACTGTGTAAACTGAGCACTTCTGAGAGTGAAGGGGAATGCTATTAAAAATTACCCAGTATAAAAAGCATAAATTTGATAGCAAGCATAAATTGGGCTGTCTCAACTCATGTCAGACAATGCAAACCACCTGTAAAATCAATCTTGGAAAAGACAAGATTTTTAGTGAAAGTGCTGTTACAGAACTGCTCCCACAAAACCAATGACAAAGGAAGACGTGGAAGGTCTAGCCCATCAGTTACCAACTGAAGAAGGGGCAAAGGATGAAGACGTAGTAAGTGCTTCATAATACTCCGAACGAGATTTAAGAGAAGACCTGGGAAAACTGACAAGGCCCTTGACTATTGCTTTTTTTTTTTTTTTTTTTTTTGAGACAGAGTCTCATTCTGTTGCCTGGGCTAGAGTGCCGTGGCTTCAGCCTAGCTCACAGCAACCTCAAACTCCTGGGCTCAAGTGATCCTCCTGCCTCAGCCTCCTGGGTAGCTGGGACTACAGGCACGCGCTACCATGCCCGGCTAATTTTTTCTATTTTTAGTTGTTTGGCTAATTTCGTTCTATTTTTAGTAGAGACGGGGTCTCACTCTTGCTCAGGCTGGTCTAGAACTCCTGACCTTGAGCGATCCACCTGCCTCAGCCTCCCAGAGTGCTAGGATTACAGGCATGAGCCACCACGCCCAGCCAACTATCGCTTTTTAAATCCTGCTGTGAAGTCAAGTCTGAACTGAAGGACTCCATGATGGAGACATCGCATCCCTGGGCACCATATGCACAACTGCAGCCACACCCTATCTGCTTATCTTGCTCTACTGAATTTACAGCTCTATCTGTGCATTTATTTATGGAAAATAAGATCTATAAGGACTGAGGACAGGGACTTTACCCTACCATATTGACTACTGTATCTCCAGCGCTTAAAGCAGTGACCACTATGTAACAGGTGCTTAATAAAAATTTGCTGAATGACATAATTGGAAAAATAATGACCTCTCTTTCTCCCCAAAACTTAATACCTGATTGACTTTTCTTTCTTTTAAGAACTGGCCCATGGCTGCATGCATAATTTAAATTTTGCTAACTATAAAATTAAAATAAACATTTTCATACTTTTTGGTTTTATTTTCAAGATAATATCCCAATCAAACCTTTCTTTCAAGATTTATTATGAAAATGTTGACATGGATTTTGGGGCTTTTCAGATACTGAAGATAATGAGGATTTCCTACACTAAAATCTATTTTAATACAAAGAAGAAAATCTAATTACAACTTATAAATAAAACTTGCAGTGTCATTCTTTTCACTTTCCAAACAGTAGGTAACATTCTCCACACTCCAGAAATCTAAAATATATGTCCTTCGGCCACGCGCGGTGGCTCACGCCTGTAATCCTAGCACTCTGGGAGGCCGAGGCGGGCAGATTGTTTGAGCTCAGGAGTTCGAGACCAGCCTGAGCAAGAGCGAGACCCCATCTCTACTAAAAATAGAAAGAAATTAGCTGGACAACTAAAAATATATATAGAAAAAATTAGCCGGGCATGGTGGTGCATGCCTGTAGTCCCAGCTACTCGGGAGGCTGAGGCAGAAGGATTGCTTGAGCCCAGGAGTTTGAGGTTGCTGTGAGCTAGGCTGACGCCATGGCACTCTAGCCCAGGCAACAGAGCAAGACTCAGTCTCAAAATAAAATAAAATAAAATAAAATTTATGTCCCTCTACATTTCCACAACCTGATTGCAACTCAATTCTCATCAGTATGTTGATGAAAGAGTGTCTGCTCTGTGGGCCCTCTGATGTGTTTCTAAATTCTGAAAAATCTAAACTCAGAAGCTCGACTAGCCCCAGGGTTTTTGGGTAGGATATTGTGGACCTGCACTTCCCCAAGTACAAATTCTGTGCTTCAGTTAAACAAGTGTTTTCAGGTCACTGTACTACTATACTGGATACCAGAGGGTCACTGGGGAGCCTCCCTGCCTGTCTGCACCGGGATCCTCCTTGTCCTTCACGCCTCAGCACAACCACCGCCCCCCTCATCCGGCCGCCCCCATTCCGCCTGGGAATTGGCTCCTTGTCTTCACCGCTCTCTCAGCACTTATCTGCTTTCCTTTCAGGACATGTGATAATCATATTCCACTTACTCTATGGCTGGGGACACAGGGACATCCTGGAGCAGAGGATTCCTGTATTCTTCTGTCATGAATACACCAGTTTCTGACTTGTTTGTTACAGGACAATGAATGAAAAGGTAATTCTTGATCTCGCACACAAAAGCAGATACACCTCTGTATTCCGAGAACTAGGCCATGGTTCCCAAATCCTGGAGATCTTACAACGAAGTCAGAACCCCAAGCCTAACCCTACTTCTGGATTTTTTTTTTTCTACTTCTGGATATTTTTTCCCCCCCTATTTCTCAATCTTTAAGCTCCCCAGGTGATTTTGATGCTAGTGTCCACAGGCTGAACTTCAGGAAACTCTGAAATTGGGAATTATTAAAAAGTTTCCTCCTCTGCTCCTTCCCCAGAATAATTTCTTCAGCATTTCAGGAACTGCACTGAAAAAAATCCCCATCTTTTTTTTTGTTTGTTTTGTTTTGAGACAGAGTCTCACTCTCTTGCCTAGGCTAGAGTGCCGTGGTGTCAGCCTAGCTCACAGCAACCTCAAACTCCTGGGCTCAAGAGATCCTCCTGCCTGTTTCCCGGGTAGCTGGGACTACAGACACGTGC